AGACAGCTGAGCACCGGATGCTTGCTGCTGCCTCCCTGCTGCAGGTGGGCGACTTTGGGCTGCGGCCGCTGGTGCCGCTGCCTCCCGACAGCCCCTACGCCTCCTTCGTGGCGCCTGAAGTCCAGCGAGGCCACCCGTTCACAGACAAAGCTGACATGTACTCCACCGGGTCCGTTCTTATTGCTGTTGCTGCTGCTGCTCCTACCGCTGCTGCCGCGGCTGCACTGCTACTCCTCCTGATGCTCCTCTACATGCTTCTGATGCTACTTCTCATACAGCTGCTGCTCCTCATTGATTCGGCTGCTGATGCTTTTGCTTGTGTCTATGCTAATCCTTACGCTGCCTTTTATGCGTGTTTCCCTTCCGGATGTTGGTGCTGCTCCTGATGATGCTGCTCTTGCTTCTACTTCTGCTGTTGCTGTTCAAGACCGCAGACCCAACAGGCTTTCTCCGCCTGCAGCGTTGGGGTTTGCACAGAGAGGGATGGGATTCGTGCTGCATTAGATGCGTTGCTGTTGCTGTTTCTGTTTGAGACTCAACGAAGTGTCCAGTTGCTGCAGCCGTTAGAACTGTTGAAGCGAAAGGTCGCGAGTGCTGCTGCTGCTGCTGCTGCTGCATTCTCAGGATGCTGTTTCTGGAGCTGTGGCTGCTTTGCCCGGTGGTCGCGCGGTTGACAAGTCGGGAAGCCATGCGCACGAACTTCAAGGGATATATTCCCCCGCGGGCCTGTGCTATCGCTGAGTTAGTTGCTGATACTAATGCTGCTGTTCTCGCTGCTGCTGCTGCTCTTGCTGCTGCCCCTCCTGCTGCTGGTGCTGCTGCTACCTTTGTTCCTTGGCGCTGCCCCTGCTGGTCCTTCTCTCTTCCTTTGGCAGGAAGCATCCGTGCACCAAAGGCAACACCATATGTGCGCTGCTGCTGCTCCTGCTACTGCTGCTGCTGCTGCAGGTTGCTGCTGCAAAACGACCCACAGAAACGCCCGACATCGCTGCAGCTGCTGCAGTCTGGGGCAGTGCCACCTGCAGTGGATGCGGGTCTCTTTGAAGCATTTTTGCTGCGCTTGGGCGGATGTTCCACAGCTGAGGACGAGGAAGCAGCGGCAACTCCTGCTGCTGCTGCCAGCTCTTCAACAGCACCGACAGGTCCTGCTGTCGCTGCGTCGGCTCCTGCTGGTCTCCCAGGTCCACTAGCACAGCAACAGCAGCAACAGCAAAACCCACATCCTGCAAGGGTCAGCCCTGCTGCAGCAGCAGAAAATGCTGCAGCAGCTGGAGGTACGGGGGTGGGGGCAGCAGGAACAAGTCCAGGAGTGCCGACGCCTGCCGCCCGGCTGCTGCTGCAACATCGCGAGCAGCACAACAGCAGCAGTAACAGCAGCAGCAGCACCGCCACAAACACCAGCAGCCACAACGCCCGTGTGCAGCTCACACGTGAGGTGCTAAATGTTCTCTTTGCTCGCCCCCTCGACCCCCGCAGCCGCCGAGCCTTCGCTGAGGCGCTGGTACGACAGCTACTGCTGTTGCTGGTATTGCTGCTGCTGCTTCCGCCGTTCGAGCTGCTGCTGCCCACAGGAGTTTGTTTGCGCGTTATGGAGTGTGGCTTCTATCCTCCTGTCTTTTGGCTGCTGCGGTTGCTCCTGCTGCTGCTGTGTGCGGACTCGCCGCTGCTTCTTGTGCTGCTGCTGCCTATCTCTCCTGCTGCCCAAGACGATGCTAGCAGCAGCAGCAGTTGCGCAGAGCAGCCAGGCCATTGACCTGCCGCCATAGACAGTGTTGCATGGAACTTGTTGCTTGTGGTTGTTTGCTGCTGCTGGCTGCTGCTTGACCCGGGAAGGGCAACGGGGGCGTTTAGGAGGCGCTTCTGTCGGTGTGCTGCGAGCTGTAGCAGCGCGCTCTCCTGCGGTTGTCTGTGGTGCTGCTGCTTGCTGCAGCAACAGGAAAGGATGCCACTGAGTTCCGGGAACAACGGCCTGCGGGGTCTCCTGTGGAGCGCCGCGTTGCAGCACTTTGGGGCCCATGGCGCTTGGCATCATCTGCTGCCAGTCTTTTGTCCTGCAGTTGAACAGCCCACTGGTCAGTCGAACTGCCCACTTGTCACACAAGCATGCCAGTGGTCTACCTGAGGGGGCTCCTGTAGAAAGGACCTCAAGCACGGCCCCTATTCTGGTGCACCCATGCACAACTGGTTGCTGTTAGCTGCTGCTGCTGATACCGCTGCTCCCAATCACGATCCGCGCGGTGTAAAATTACCTGGTGCTGCTGCTGCTTGTCAGTCTTTTGCTGTTCCNCTTGCTGCTGCTGCAGCTGCTGCTGCTTCCAGAACAGCAGCAGCAGATCTACCGCTGCCCTCAGGATACGTTTTCGTTTTGTGTTTGCTGGCGTCTTTGTGCATCCTGTATATGGACCTGCGTCGCGCTCGTCTACGTTGCTGCTTCTGTTCGTTTTGTTGCTGATGCTCTTTGTCTCCGTGCAGCAGCAACTGGAGTTGTGGCGCTTACAGCATCCAATCTGCTGTTGTCGCCTACAGCGCGGCTGTCTTCTGCTTTTGCTGCTCTCGATGCCGCGGCTGCTTCTGTCACCCCTCCCTGCTGCAGCAGCTTGCAGTTGCAGCACTTTCCTGCTGTTGTTACTGCAGCATCAGGGGCTGCAGCAGCAGCAAGGGCCGTGCCGGGGTCCGCTGAGTGGAACCAGTTTATCCTTTCAGCATCAGCTGCAGCAAGTGCAACTGCAGCAGCAGCTACGCTGCAGCCGCAGCAGCGCCTGTTGCTAGACGGCGAGATCTTCAAGCGCTTTTGTGTTGGGCCAGCTTGTGCATCGGGGGTGAGGCACGAGGCGGCAACTTGCTGCT